CTTCTGAACAGAGGCGAATGTGTTTGTGGCTCCAGCTGATTTGAATAATGGGAGGAATGATGACGTGCTCTCCCCGCGTCCACTGTACGTATTTAAAGTTGTAAACAAAACCGAACCGCACCTGACTTTTTCCGTGTGCGCACTCATTTATTTTCGCTGCGTTAACTGCGGTGATGCCGAGACCCGCATTCTCCTTTCCCTGCGTGCCGAGGAGGAGATAAATAAGAACTTCACAGTGTCTCATTAACATAAACAGCTCTTCTGAACAGAAGTCAGAGCAGGCAGAACTAGAAAATGGGAAATTTTATTATCTGAGAATTATTTTGTGCATTAAATTGAATGAACATGGTCTGGATAGCCCACAGACATACCATAAACATTTCTAGGACCCATAATTGGTCTCCTTTAAGTTAAATAACAGAAAAGCTGTAAAAGTTTCACATACTACATGTCAGCAGTGAACCGGCTCAGCGCTGACAATGGAGACGAACACATCTGTTCCTTCCTGTCTTCATACAGGAGGCAGGAGGCTGACACCAGCAGCCCCCGGCTCTGCTGCTGGTGTCAGCCTCCTGCCTCCTCTGGGATCTGTGTCGTTACATAAACTGCTCTCTCCACCGTGGCACARCCTGGTGTCAGACAGTAATCAGACAAATAGATGCAGAACGTTTGGCAGATTATGTCGAACAGTGTCTTCATGTTGTGGATTGGATTTTCATTTTAATAATGCAGATATTCTCACTGAGATGYCAGATTGTACAGACGTTTTTTTTTTTAAATAAATAAATAAATCATTAAAAGAAGAAAACTGTCTGCAGCAACAGCCAGGCATGCAGCAGTGCAGTGAGGAAGCCCGCCATCTCCCTCGCAGACAGCACAGAGCTCAGGTACGTCTCCTCAGCACCTCCAGCCTGCTTCAGATTCACACAGTTGTACACTTCCTGTGTCTGTTAGCAAAATATTTTATGCACTTATATTCCTTGGGAACGTTTGTCTCTCGTTTTCCTCTCAGAGTGTTGCTGAGCATCATGTACCTGATGGTGGAGACGATTAGAGTCCAAACAGAAGACGATCTGCCGGAGTGGAGAGCAGCCCGAGAGGCCTTTAAGAACGAGCTAGGTGTGTGTGTTACAAGCTGCGTTTCCATTGACCATGAAAATGCGCAAATTAGAATGTCGAAAATAAATTTGCTCAATGGAAACACGTCAATTTCGAAAAAAAAATACGTTTTTCGACAAAATGGTTTTGCGCTAGGAAGATTTTTTCGGCCGTATCGAAATTGATGTGTTTCGCAAAACTGCAATGGAAACACTTTTTTCGCATCACAGGAGTCACCAAGAACTGTCTGTTTCTACGGGCAAAAAGAAGAAGATAACAGGAAGTAAAAGTAGTAGTAAAATCACAGAAGTACTAAAAAAGTAGTAAACTCACCAACTACATTTTTCCAAAAACACAGCCTACGTAGCCGCTCCCAAATAAAGGGGCTTGTCACTCGAAAGCCTCGATAAGAYGCTGATGTCTCCTCTGATGATGAGCGCTAGTGTGGTAGCATTATGCTATGTGTTTACATCCATCGCCGCCATGTTTGTAAGGATTTATCACGAGAACAAACGTATTCACGCGTGACTTTAATAGCATTTCTTACTTAATGGAAACACCACTACTGCAAAACTGTGGGTTTTTTTACATTAACAGAATATCAACAAAGTTTTGCTCACATTTGTAATAGGGGTGTAAGAAAATATCGATACACTGAAATATCGCGATATTTCATTTCCCGATACTGTATCGATATTCTAAAGCCCTGTATCAATTTTTAATTAAGGATTAAAATGTCAACCTTCTTGCCAACCGTCCATTTTTATGTTGTAGTTCAGCCTCTGACCACTAGTTGGCAGCAGTGAGCCAG